CCATTTGGAAGGGGAATTGCTAAAAAAGGGCTTTTTCCCTTTGCGTGCTGCTCCCTGGGCGAGCCACGCTTCCAGAGGGATTTTTGGGAGGAGCAGTGCCCGGCCTGGATTGGTGGGGCTCTGTGGCCGGATGGAGCCCAGGCAGGAAATTCCATTTTCCAGGGTTGTGCCCCAGTTCTGCTGAGCCCCCCAGGGCACCCCCACCCTGCAGGGCTCAGCCCCTGCTTTGGCTCCTGCCTGGCACATCTGGGGACAGTGGGAGCACCTGGCAGGACGTGTGACCCCCAGGTGTGGCACGTGCCACCCGTGCCCCTCCCGGAGCTGGAACCCACGGCGGGATTTTTGGGCCAATTTTTTGGGGATTTTTGGGATCTCCTTGCCCTCCAGCCCCGTTTTAGGGCTGGTTCTGCTCTGGTTTTGCCCCTGCCCTGGGCTCCAGGCTCTGAGGAGCTGCCAAGTGTTCTGGTTGAGGGCTCAGGGATGGGGATGTCGTGATTATCCCGGGGAGTTCTGCTTTTCCTGGTGTTTCCAAGGCAACTGGGAACTCTCAGGGCCACAAACACGCACATGGTGCCCTTCCCCTGAGAGCTCTGAGACTCCTCCTCCAGTTTCCCACCTGTTGGAATGCTCACCTGAGCCCCTCCTTGGAGGCTCTAAAATCCCTCCAGTTTTGGTTCTGTCCTCTGAACATTCCCCCCAGCCCTTGCTGGGAGGGCAGCGAGGCCACCAGGCTGGAAAAACCCCAAAAATGGGGATTTTAAACCAAGGGGGATAAAATATTGAGGCTTTGGTGCTTTCTGGAAATCAGGGTTTGTTTTGTTTTGTTTTGTTTTTTTCCCTGGGAAGGCTTTTCAGCTGTTATCCTTGTGGTTTATGGGATTAACTGTATTTAAAATTATGGGATTAGCCGTAATGTACAATAATCTGCAAGGCAGGAATTTTCTCATGGAATTTGGCTTTCCTTGTGCTTTGGAGCCTGTCCCCACAGGTGTTGTGCTGGTTTTGGGGCACAGAGAGAGGGGAGGGGGCACTGCTGGGAGCCTGGTCCTGGTGTAGCCCAGCTCCTGGGGGATTCCTGGGAGAAGCTGGGCTTTGGTTCTTCTGGAATGCCCCAAGCTTGGCTGAGCCTTTTGGAGCAGCTTTGCTGTTTTGCCCTGCTTGGCTCCTTGGTGAAATCCCGTTCCAGCTGCTGGGGATTGGGATCTTTTCCCCTTCATCAATCCAGAACCTTCTCCCCGTGCTGGAGAGCAGCTTGGGTCCATAGTGGGAATCCCTGGGCAGCGCTGGATTGAATTCTCCTGGATTCAAATCCAGGATCCCCCTGGGCTGGGCTCCTGTTCCCCCCAGCAGCACAGCAGGAGGGCTGGTGGGCTCAGGGCTGCACCTTACTGGTCCTTACTGGTTTTTCCCTGCTGTTTCAGAGGGCCTGGCAGTGGGAGTTGGATTCGGGGCCATTGGGAAATCCGAGTCTGCCACGTTCCAAAGTGCCAGGTAAGGCCCAGTCCTGCTTTTTGTGTGTTCCTTTGCCTCTTGGAGCTTGGCTGTCCCACCTTGTCCCGTGCTGGGGGGGGTTGGAGATCCATGGATTGATGAAACCTGCCTGGAAGCACAAGGGTGGCAAAGGGAGTGGAAGAAATTCCTGGTGCTGCTGCGTTTTCCTCACGCTGTGCTGGCCAGATGTGAGAAAAGGTTTCTGGTGCTGATGGTCCTGCAGTGGCTCCGTGGTTTTTGGCTCTCTGGGATCACTGGAGCTGGGGAGAGGCAGCTGAGTGTCCCAGTGGGTGCTGCTGCCTCTCAGGAGTGCAGCCAGGGATTTTGGGGTGTTCATCCTGCTCCCTTCTCCCTGTTAAGCATCCCTGGGGATGCTCAGCTCAGCACTGGCAGCTGCTTTGCTGTGGGGAGTTCCAGAGGAGAGGACAGGAGAAAGGGGATAAGGCTGGGAGCTGGGGATGTGTAAATCAGGGGGAGATGAGGGAAACCTCAGCCTGGTAAATCCCTTTCCTTGGAGCTGGCAGCAGGAATGGTGGAATCTCCACCCTCCTCTTCCCAGTGCCCCTGCCTGGTGTCTCCGTGGCTCCCTGCAGGATTCCTTCATCTCCTCCTCCTCCTCCTCCTCCTGCTGCTGTCCCACCTGAGAGCTGCTTCCAGACAGGATCCCTGGCACAGGGAAATGCTGGGATTTTCCCTAAAAGCAGCATCCCATGGTGGGAGCAGCTGCTGGGAAGCATCTGGTGGCTTTGTGTGCCATCCCTGCCAGGCAGGGACGCTGGAATTGGTGGCAGGGAAGGCTCCTGGTCCTCTTGGCATCCTGCTACCCCCGAGTCCTGGCATTCCTGCTCCTGGCAGAGCTCCCAGGAAAACCCTTCCTGGCACTGCTGCCTCTTGGGGGCATCAATCATGCAGCTCCTCCAGACTCTGGGATTTTGGGCACTGGGGACTGTCCTGCTCCTCCCAGCGGGGGCACAGCACGGCTGGCAGCGTCCACCCCGGCAGAGCTGGGCTGGGTGGAGAGGAGGAGGAAGGGAAAACAAACCTGGAATGGAGCTGGAAGGGAAAACAGACCTGGAGAGGAGAGAGGAAGGGAAAACAAACCTGGAACGGAGCTGGAAGGGAAAACAAACCTGCAGAGGAGAGAGGAAGGGATAACAGACCTGGAGAGGAAGGAGGAAGGAAAAACAAACCTGGAGAGATGGGAGGAAAGGATCACAAACCTGGAACAGAACTTGAAAGGATCACAAACCTGGAACGGAGCTGGAAAGGATCACAAACCTGGAGAGGAGCTGGGGAGAAGGGAGGAATGAGTAACAAACCTGGAGAGGAGGAGGAAGGGATCACAAACATGG